AGAATGCTTCTTGCTTTTGCTTGTTTCAAAGGTTTCAAATTGTTTCAAATGGATGTTAAAAGTGCCTTTTTAAATGGTTTTATTGATCAAGAAGTATATGTGGATCAACCCCCCGGTTTTGAAAATACAAAATTTCCAAGTCATGTGTTTAAACTATCTAAAGAATTATATGGTTTAAAACAGGCTCCAAGAGCTTGGTATGAAAGATTAAGTGGTTTCTTGATAGAAAATGGTTTCAAAAGAGGTATTGTGGACACCACACTTTTTACTAAGCATGTGTTAAATGACCTTCTTATTGTGCAAATATATGTTGATGATATTATTTTTGGTGCTACTAATGAGTATCTATGCAAGGATTTTTCCACCACTATGCAAAGTGAATTTGAAATGAGTATGATGGGAGAATTAAATTTCTTCCTTGGACTTCAAATACATCAAACCCTTGAGGGAATTTTTATAAATCAAGCAAAATATACCAAGGAATTGCTGAAAAAGTTTGGCATGGAGGACTCAAAGCAAGTTGGAACTCCAATGTTCACTTCTACAAAACTTGACAAAGATGAAGAAGGTAATCATGTGCATGAAAAGCACTATAGAGGTATGATCGGAAGCTTACTCTATTTAACCGCAAGTAGACCTGATATTATGTTTGTTGTTTGCTTGTGTGCTAGATTTCAATCTTGTCCAAAAGAATCACATTTAAATGCTGTTAAAAGAATTTTTAGGTATTTGAAAGGTACATTAGACTATGGTCTTTGGTATGCTAGATCTTGTGAATTTGCTTTATATGGACATTCGGATGCGGATTTTGGTGGTTGTCGTGTGGACAGAAAAAGTACTAGTGAAACTTGTCACTTTCTTGGTAATTGCTTAGTTTCTTGGTTTAGCAAAAAGCAAAAGTAATATCTCTGTCTACAACCGAAGCGGAATATATTGCCGCTAGTGCATGTTGTGCTCAACTTTTATGGATGAAGCATACCTTGAATGATTTTGGATTGTTATATGATTACATGCCTATATTCTGTGATAATACTAGTGCTATTAATTTGACCAAAAATCCAATTCAACATTCTAGGACAAAGCATATAGATATAAAGCACCACTTTATTCGTGATCTTGTTCAAAAAGATGAAATTTATGTAAATTATGTTTATTCTAAAGATCAATTTGCTGATATTTTTACCAAAGCTTTGCCATTAGATCAATTTATTCATCTAAGATCAAAATTAGGGTTAATCGAAAAATCATCTTAAATTTTTCATAGCCTTCGGACGTCCGAAAGAGGATGAACGGACGTCCGATGATGTTCTTCAGCTATTTTCCCAGAATGCACCTATTCGGATGAAACTGTCGGACGCACGACTTCGTTCGGCTGTCCGACAGTACAACGGCTCATTTTTTAAAAGTAAGTTTCTTAGTCATTTGCTTCAAACTCTTCTTCTTCTATTTCCTCTCGGACGAAAACCCTTTCATCTCTCGCCCTCAAATTCATACCATTCAGAAGCTCTCATTCCCAAATTGACTCAAACAAAACTTTTCCTGATTGATTGCGATTCATTTCTCCTGATCATTTCACCGAATCGCATAACATTTCGTAAATTCCCAAATTTCCCTCAAAACCCTACTTTCTCATAACCGCTCTGTCAAATGTTGTTCAAGGCCTTTTTGTCCCAAAAATTCTGTGTGATTCACTTCCATACTACTGTGTGCATCATTTGCATCCTTCATTCCACACATTTCGCACAATGGTGAATCTAAGAGGAGGGAAGGTCACTGCCGGACGCAAACACCCACTCAGGGATGAGGATGATGATCTTCCTACGGTCAAACGATCATCCAAACGCTTCAAGAGATGAGCTGTAAAGGGTCGAATGTCACAGCCTACACCACAACCCTCCCCTCAGCCTGAATTTGGACAGGGAGCCTCATCTCAACCGCCTCCAAAATCAACCACACTCCCTACATTCTTTGATGATGCTGCAAAAGACAAACACTCCTGGATATCCCAGAAAGGTGTCATTCCTCAACGCACTATAAATTCTTCTGAATTTCGCCAAATAGGTTTAGAATCCATTCTGAGTCTATTTGCTTTCTAGAAATGGTCACATCTCATTTCTATGCCCAATGTTTATTACCCTGAAATGCTGTATCAATTCTTTGCTAATCTTAGGAAAGGCACTGACCAAACTGAGATTATGTCCAGGGTTAATGGGGTAGACTTAGTCTTTGATTCTGAAATTGTGAATGATATTTTAAAAACTACTATTGAACCTGGATGCAAGAGTAAAATTACAAATTTCTTTTCCTATGAAGAGCATCCTACTGCTGATAATCATTTTGATGGGGCTAAGATGTTGACTTATTTTAAACGAAGTTTTTTTGCCCCTGCTGATGCTAAACAGAATGATCTTGCCCCTGTGAATCTAATTGCTTTTTCAATCATTTCAAACCTGCTTGTGCCTACTGATGGCCATAGAACAGATGCAAACAAAATCGAGTTGTATCTCTTTTACTGTTTTCGAGAAAAGATTCGTATTGATTTTGGTTTTGTCATGTGCAAGTTTTTACTTCGCTATGCCACTGATTCTCGCAGAAAATTATCTTATGGAAAATTTCTTCAAAAGATCTTTGAGTTTTACAAAGTACCAATTCTTGGTGTTTGTCCTAAAGAAGCATCTTCTTATGCCTTTACCAAAGGATATTTTGAAAGGAAAAATCTTGTCTTTAAGGATAATCTATGGGCTTATAAGGGGGCATCATCCAGTGAACCTAGGTCTAAGGCTGCACATGATCCACTACACAATCCTTCATCTATTGCACTCACTCCCATTCATCCCAGGAAGTCTGCCACTAAGGCATCTTCCTCCTCCAATGATGAAGTGATTGAGTTCCTTCGTGAACTCAAACAGCATGTTCTTCTTCTAGAACATGGTCTAATGCTCACCATGTCCTCTGAATATCAAACAGTCTACCTAGACAAAAGAACCTTCTTTTTTCCCCACCTGTGGTTGAGGAAGTTTCACATGGCAAAGAGCCACGCCCCACTGATCCAAGTTCATCAATTTCAGACCCGAACTCATCAACTCCTGTGACTCCTCATGGCCCTTCCACATCAGTTAAAGGCAAGGCACCAGTTGAAGAAGCTGCTGAAGATGATGAAGAAACTGAAGAGGAGGACCTCTCCCAATATCAGCTTTCTCGAAGGACACTGGATCCACCTAGTTCACCATAGGGCCATTTGCATTTTGTTTGACTATTTCATGTGTTTTTAGTGTTTGTGGTGTTCAACAATGGATATGTAGATATAATGCTTATGTTTATGTTATGTTCGTTTAGTACTTTTTCATGGATGATTATGGCTGTAATGGTTATGGATATGTGGATGGATTTTAAGTATGTTGAATGATGAATGTGTGGATGTGATGAATGTTTTTTGGTTCTCCGTGATATATGTGATTGATTGGCCTTTTGTGATGACAAAAAGGGGGAGAGGACTGGATTGGATTGATTGATGATTTAATTGAAATTGAATTGGCTTGATGGATTGAATTGGTAAAATGTTGGATGTTGGCTGTTTAATGGTTATGTTTTTGGATAATTGATTAATTCGGTAGGGTAGCCAAGTGAGGGGGAGTTTTTCAAATTTTTGCTCTATGATTCACTAAGTAAGGGGGAGTTTTTGTCAATTGAGAAAGGGGGAGCTTATTTTGCAATCATCAAATCGCATTTCAAACAATTGTTTTGTCATCATCAAAAAGGGGGAGAATGTTATTCTTCGTTTTGATGATCACAATGTACTTTGAAATGTTTATCTAACTCTCTTCAAATATAAGTGTTTTTGCCTATCAAAGAATCAGGTACGAATATGTCAAGAAATGAATATCAACCAAAAGAAGAAGCAAAAACAGGACACTCATATCGGACGTCCGAAGGGATGAAGAACATCAAGAAGGAAATACTGTCGGACGCTCGTAAGGAAGCATCGGACGTCCTGAAGGATCGGACGTCCTAAAAATTCCACAAAGCTTTGATAACTCTCTGGACGACGTTCGGACACAGAAGCTCGGACGATAAAATCCCATCGGACGTCCGAACAACAACTTGACTGATTTTCGGACGATGGGATCAGACGATGACTAATCTGTAGGACGTCCGACATCCCCAACGGCTAGCTGACTCTTCATCTGCCTTCTATCCGTTGGAAGCATTAATGAAGCCCATTTTAGGTCCCCTTCAAATACAAACGATTCTGAACAAGACAAGGACTTTTGCACACTTTGTTTATAAGATCTCAAGAGATATTTTAGCTTGAAAATAGTCTCCAAAGCTAGATTTGTTCTCCAAGTGGTGTGAATTTCTCGTGACCATTTCTTTTGTGATTGAAAGTTTCTTTAGTGTAGCTTTGTTGAGGGTTATCTGATTGATTGTAAAACTTCTTAGCTTGACTAAGTGAGGCTTAGGGCAAGGAGGAAGTGCTCCCTCCATTGTACATCTAGTTGATCATCTTTCATCAAAGAGAAGTTGCTCAACCTAGTGATTGGTCTTCAAGTTTGAGGAAAGCTTGGTAGACAATCGGTTTGATATTCTATCTTATTCTTTTTTTGTTTAATAAAATTCTCATTGCTTATCTATACTTGTTTTTCGAATCAATATTGCTCTCTTCTTCTAATCTACTTGATTGATCATTACTAGAAAAGAAGGTAAATTTTTATTAAGCAAAAAAATTGCATAAATTTGATTAAGATTTTAATCAACCTAATTCACCCCCCCTCTTAGGTTGTCTTTGGGCCTTACAGTATGCCTTCGCACTCGGTTTCGTCCTCACTCACGATCTCACCATTTTGCATCATAATCATAGTCCTTTGATTGGGACATTGACTAGCAATATGGCCTCTATCTTGGCATTTGAAGCATCGAGTATCACAAGCTCTAGTTTGTACCCTAGGCTCCTCAAATTTTGGAGTAGAAGAGGGTGGCTTACTAATACTAGGGTTGCCCACCTTACCTCCCTCGAATCTCGGCTTTGGTGTAGGAGCATTTGGTGAAGGCCGAGAATCATTCCTTGGTTGGAATGGGCGGTTGGTAGAGTAGGTGGTATTGCCGAAATTCGATCGATGGTACCCCTTCTCTTGAGCCTTTGCTTGACCTTAATAGCCTTGTCTACAAGCTCATGCAACTCCATATAATGTTGAAGTTCCACTCGTTCAGCAATATCGGGTCGTAACCCGCTCAAGAATCTCGCCATGGTGGCTTCAGGATCCTCCTGTACATCCGCTCTAAGCATCAGGATCTCCATCTCCTTGTGGTACTCATCCACACTCCGGTTGCCCTGGACTAAGGTTTGTAACCGGTGGTACAAATCTCTAGTGTAATGTCCAGGTACAAAGCGGGTGCGCATCATGGCTCGAAGCTCGGGCCATGGAATGAGCTCAGGTAGCCCATTTCTCCTTCTAGACTTCTTGATTTGGTCCCACCAAACCACAGCGTACTCAGTGAATTCCATGGTGGCCAATTGCACCTTTTGCACCTCGGTGTAGTTTTGGCAAGAAAAGACCATTTCGATCTTGGATAACCATTCGAGAAAGGCCTCGGGATCGGACCGTCCTTTGAACTCAGGGATTTGCATCTTGATTCCCTTGAATACATCGGTAGGTCCAGTCTGGTTCCTTTGCCTTGGTCAAATTCGAGGTTCCTCATCATCATCATCATTATTGGAACCATCGGACGACTCCTCCACGTCTCTTCGCCTTCGCATGGACTTAGAGGTTTTTGGTGTTCCAAACGCTTGGAGTTGCAGCAACTCATCTTGAACGGGTTCTAGCATGCATTGGAAACACCTCTCCATTTGCTCCATCATCTGTTCAAAGTTCATGGGACGGGATACTCCTTCGTTTCCACTGGACATGGAGTCTCAAGTGTACCTGCAAGGGTTAATAGCAAAGAAAAGGAAATAGGGGAAAAAGTAATTTTTTTTTTGTTTTTTTTTCTCACTTCACTCCCTAAGTGTATACGCTCACACTCGTGTATGGTCACTCAGATCACTCTAATAAGCTTACCAAAATATTTTCTCACAGCCCCTTGCAAAACCTTGAAGAAAGTAGAACTCCTCAAGTACTCAAATTTAGCTTAAAAATCAAGTTCACGCTAGAATTTGGGATTCGTAAGAGTAGAGATTTTCTTGGAAAACAAAATTAGGACACTAGGAATGGAGTGGTAGAATATATTCAAGAGTAAAAATGAGAAAAAGAATGGACACAAAGCTACAAAAAATTACGAATGATGCTCAATGCTCTAACCGACAAGGAAGTTGGTCCTTTTGCTTTGCTGGATTTCCGTGGAATGTTTACTCCTATTCTAGCTGGCTCAAGGTGCTGGTTTCCTTTTTGCAGAGGTGCAAACACACCTTAGGAGTAATTCTAGTGAAGGGTCGGCTACCAAATAGAAGACAAGCGAGTTGGAGGGCCACTTGGTCTTGTCGGGTCCCTTTTTTTTTAGAAGCAAGCTGGGTTTAGGAGTCTTGGCGGCTGTTTCCTTTCTTCCTTTCTCTCTGTTCCCCTTTTTTTTTTTTTTTTTTTAAGTTCAACCGACTGGATCCTTGCCTAAGTGCTTGGAAAGGGTACCAAGACTGGGGATAAGTATGGGCAAGCGGTGGCTATAAATTAGGAAACAGGATGACGTTGGTAGCCCTTTCGGTTTTAGAAGTTGGTTGGGTTTAGAGTTCTTGTAGCGGCTGTTTCTTTATTTTTTTTTCTAGTTGTTCAGCCGAGTGGATTTCCCAATTCAATAAAAGCATGCAAGACACTCTTGTTTCGAATTTGCTTGTTGTGTTTTTTTTTTCTCGTACAGCAGCAGCTTCGAATGAACACTGGTCTAGGCTACCCAAAAATTTCCTAGGTCTGACTGAGTTTAAGTGCGACCTGTTTGATGGTTTTCTCTTTTATTTATTTATTTATTTTTGGTAATCAGGTAGGATAGGTTTTGGTTCCCAAACGGGTCAAGGTTCAGCACCAGGTATAGACCAATCTTAAACAATCAAGAGTTGTAAACCAAACACAAAAATTTCCAGCAAATAGCTTCAAGAATATCGCTGCAAATTTCCAGATTTCAAAGGATCAAGAACCTCTTCAAGAGCTCCAAGAAACCTTGAAGTTTTGCTTACGAAATTCAAGAATAAGGTACCAATATTCCCCTAGATAATGAATAACTAAGACACGGACCAAGAACAGCTTTAGAACCAACCACAATTCGACAAGGAGACACGAGCAGAAATTGGGAACTACCAAAACGGCAACTCCGCGACTTGGAAGGAACACAGACCAGAATTTTCTTGCCCCCCCCTTTGTTTTTTTTTTTTGGCTCAGGTTTGGGACATAATCACAAAAGCAATAGACACAAAAAATTGAGCAATGGACACGCACAACAATCAGGGGACAATTCGGACAGACTTTCCAAAGCAAGTGCGGCACGGACCGAACTCCTATGAGTCGATGTTACTAGCACCATTTGATTCTTCAATTTGCTGGTCCCAAGCGGTGGAGAAAACAATCAGCAAGACACGACCAAATTTATTCACACGAGACTCAGCAGTAATTGGCAATAACAAGGCACAGATTGCATAAGGTTCAACGGACAGCAATACGGAAGCGACAATAAGAACACTAGCGGTGTGGGTTTGTTTCTTTTTTTTTTTACTTTAACGACTGCTGGAATCCACACCACCAAACCAAACACAACACACTTGACTTCCAGAAATTCCAAAAATTGAAGATGACAACAAGACAAAAACAAACAATGATGACCAGACTTGAAAACAACAGGAACTCGCGGCCAGAATGCAACGTGCACAAAAAAATTTTTTTTTTTTGAGCTACCGAGACAGATACGAATTAAGGCACGAAAAGAGGGATAACGATGTTACCAACAAGCTAGCTCTGATGCCAGCTGATACGAATCTCGTTGGTGAGGAGATTCGCAACCCAAGATCGCTTGTTGGATTCGACGTCGAATGCAAGAAACGGTGGCAGCGGAAACCCTACGACCCCTCTAATCCCCGTGACTACGAACTTGTTGATACTATCTCAACCCGTAATCAAACGAATTAGTGAACCTCTGTGACGCCCCGAAAGTATGAGTGTGAGAACCCGAAAATTTTCTAATTTTCAAGGGTTTATTTTATTTAATCGCCCGCCTTTTCTACATTTTCTTTATTAGAAAAATTCCCCAGATAAAGTTTATGAGCAAAAATAGGTTTAACATGATTTTTCTAGTATCGGTTAGTTTTTGAGAAATTAAAAGCGTATTTTGGACGTGGGACCCGCTAGTGCGGTAAATGCATTATATTTTTGACAACTTGTTGGAATTTTGTATTAAGTGATATTAATATTACAAGGTGTTAAGATATTTGTATTGGAGAGACAAAAATATAAGTTTTACACCTAAAGGTGACAAGTGTCACCATAAGATTTAGTCTTGAGTTTGACTACTATTCATAACTTTACCATTTAATTCAAATTGGCCCAAAAATCACTTCATTTTGTAAGCTTCTTCGCCGAATGTTCTTGCTCAAGAAAGAAAGAAAAGCTCTCAATTTCTTCCTTCTATTTCTTGCTCAATCTTCAAATCCAACCAATAAAACTCCAAATCATTCCATAAAATCTCTTTGCTAAGTGATCTTGAGGTGTTTTGTGGAGTTGTTTGGAAAGCTAAGGTGGCTAGTTGCTCTATCTCTTGTATTGCTAAGGTGAGTTGTGAAGGACCCCTCTCCTTCCTCTAATGATGTTCAATTCATGATTGGTGGTGGTATAAGATGCACTTTTATGGATTATATCTTGATTTTGGTTGAATTGGTGAAGTTTTATAATTATTGGGGATTTTTCTATTTTCATATGGATATGATTGTGTGGCTATCTATGATGATTGGAAATGTTTTATAATGATTCTAGAAGGTGGAAAAAGTGGACAATTGCAATCAATTTCTGTTTTGGAAGAAATTTCAGAAAATTCGGTTTTGTGAAGGAACATTCTGTCCGAATTTATAGCTCATAGATAGAGGCCAAATTGGCCTTGGCTTAAAACATGAAAGTTGTAGGGAATGATATTTTAAAGGTGCCTACAAAATTTCAGGTCAATCAGAGTAGTGTGGAATGAGAAAAGTCGAAATTACTATTGCTGTTCTGGTTTTACCCGAATGTAAGAATTGCACCTGTAATTGGTTGTTTTGGTCAGGATTGCTTCCGAATTGGTTGTTGAGGTCTTCTGATGAAATTTATCCCTGTTTCTTAGCTTTCAGTTGGTTTTGGAATTTCTGGATTTGGACTTGGATAGCCTGATTTATGATGTTTCCGCTAGAATGCGTTCTGTGAATCTGTTTTTGTGATTCTGGTATAGTATCTTGCATTTTTGACCTGGTTACACTCGAAACTGGGTTGAGTGACCTTCTGAAATATTGTAGCCCTATCTCTTAGCTTCGAAACGGTGGGTCTTGTAGCTTCATCCGACCATCGTAGTGCCATTGGTGCCATTACCGCAAAATGACGTCAAAACTATTTTTCTGGTTTTGAGCTTAACTCCCATTTCCGGACTTTTCCCTAGCTTGACTTGTACTAGTACTACTTGGAGCTTTCTGAATGGCTATTGGATGAACTTGTTGTTGTGTGTGTACCTTTGGGTTGGAATGAGGAAATAATGAAGCCATGATGGTTGGAAAAGTTAGCAAATTCAGGGGAAGTGCTGTCCGAACTTTGAAGGGATTTGTTTGCATTGAGTTTGTGATCTAAGACTTGGATTTGAGCAAGACAATGTTATATGCTGGATGATTTCTGAGCCGTGGATGTGAGTGACCCTAAACTATTTCCAAAGTACTTGTGAAACGTTTCTTGCAATATTTACTTTTGAACTGTTTCCAAAGTTACTTTTGAACCGTTTTCTTGCATATCATGCGTACTTGTATGTGAGTGATCAGGATTTCTGTGTAACTCAATACAAAAAATGAGTTTACTATGAATGGGCACTTAGGCGAGGGTGTACTTTATCGCACTCGATCTAAACCCCATTAGTTGCTATTAATACCTGTGAAATATGATTTTTATGATTTGTTATAGAGCATTCATGGCTTGTGAATATTTGCAGAGCATTTATTGCTTGAGAGCATTTATTGCTTGAACCAGAGCATTTATTGCTTGAACCAAAGCATTTATTGCTTGAAAAATATTTTAGAGCATTTATTGCTCGTGACTTGGGCAAGAGAAGTGAGCTGTGTGGCTCAGGATCTTAAGGGTCAACCGGTGATCAAACTCGACAAAAGAATTGGCTTGGGAGCCACCCGTATCCTTACGAATGTATCCTTTTCATGAATGTTACCATCGTTTTCCATTGTACATGTTTCTTGAATTATTGATACTCCATACTCAATGTATTGTAAATGTCGTAATTATTTATGGACCTATCATTTGATTTATGACATCATTGATTTATGACATCATTGAAATGAACTATTGTGAAACCGATTTGATTACTGATTTTACTGGTTACTCGCTGAGTTAGCTCACCCCAAAAATGTTTTATTCCCCTCCACAGGGCTCGTGGCAAAGGAAGGCTTGTTGTGCTTATTCACGTGACTGGATGGCT